TTAATTTTTTGGGGTTGGTAGGGGGCTGGCCGGTGGGGGTGGAGAGGTAGGAGATTAAAAATAAAAATTTGGAGTTGAAAATATTTTTAAAAAGTAAAATTAATTTTTGGGGAGGGGGTGGTGTTGGGGGCGGGGGGTAGAGGTGGAGGGTGGTCAGAGATCAGTGAAAAAATAAAATTTTGAAATTGAAAATATTTTTTTAAAAATTTATGTTTTTCTAAAAAAAAATGTAATTTAAAATTGGAGGAGAGCTTTGGAAAATGTTTTCCTTAATTTTTGAAAGGAAGTCATTTTCTTTAATTTTGATGAAAATGAGTTGATTTAGAAAACATTTTCCAAAACTTTTGCCCCAACCAAAAATGAGAAAATTGAAAAACATTTTACAGAAAATGTTTTCCTTCATACCAAACACACTCTTAATATCAAAATTTTTGTGTAACGGATTTTTAGTACGTAAATGAAGATACATTATTCGTAAGTTACTTAATAATGAGTCACTAAGTTTAATTGCATATGGAAGAAAACATATCTTAATTTAGGCCTAAGCCCCCTAAAGTTAGACACAATATTTCACTTAAGTACCTTAATTAGTCGATGTTTATAGACACCTCATGTAGAATTTTGTAGCGTCATTTTAGCATTTTTTTTAATATCAGCAAAAAAATATAATATGTGTAAATCACACTCGTCAATGACATGCAAAGTGACCAATTAAATAACGATATTTATCATTTGTGTCAAAAATAATTTTTTAAATAATTAATATTGAGTAAATTTAAAATTGGCCATTAAAATAATGACACATAATATTTTTCTCCAAATAAAAGTCATAAATATTAAGCCAACTAAGAAAAGCCCCCCATCCCACCCTTGACCGTCTTCTCCAAAGCCCCCCACCCCTGATCGTCTTCTCCAGAGCTCCCCCCACCCACCCACCCCAATAGTCTTCTCCAAACCACCCGACCCACAGACTCTGATCGCCTTCTCCAAATACATTTCCTCCCTACCCCCCTGATAACCTTCTTCAAAATCCAAAAAACAAACAAATCCCCTTTCTCATTTGAATTTTTGTTTTGGGGTCAAAAAAATAGTCACTGGCTCCTCTACTTTGCTTTCTCCAAATTTCTTTCTCTTTTTACATAAACTACCCATAACAACACGTGCATATTGCGTTTCGTTGAATTCACTTCCTTTAATTTATTGAAATAAGTTTTATTATTTTTTCTTAAATTTCAATTTGTCCTAGCTATTAGATTTTTCACGAAAGAATTTTACGAATAAATTTATTATGAAAATTTTACAATATTTTGTCATTTTTGTTGGAAAATCTTCTTTCACATTAAGGGAAATTTAATTTGGTCAAAATATGGTGGCTGAAAAATTGAGAATAAGATGAAAAAATAATAATTTAAAATTAACTATTAACTCTTTCACGCGCCTATCGATGAGTATGTCACACTTATTGTCACGCCCCGATTCTACACCCTGGACGTGACCGGCACTCAATGACTATTTCTAGCCTTGAGCGTACCCTTGGCCTGAATTACTTAACTCAGCGGAAGACTTGCACAAGATATAATCTCAAGAAATAACTTTAAAGAAAGTAATTAGCCAAAGTGACAACCCAAGTCTTAGTCAATTACAAGTGAAAGAAAAGACCAAGAAAAACTAATATCATTTTTCTATGAAGCCTCTAATATAAAGATGGATGTTAGGACAGGACCCACAATCATCCTAACAACTGAATACTTAACAAATAGCTAAAACTAAATATGTCCTCCGGAATGAAGGAAGACTCACCAACTGACTCTAAGCTTCTCACTGGATGAACAATGCGCCGAATGCTGACCTGACTACCTGCTTCTGTATCATAGTACGATGCAGGCGAACTAACATCTACATTGAATGTACGAGTATGCGAGTTGGAATGCTAAAAAATAACACTTGAGGTGGAAAAGGAGTACGAAGGAACACTTACCTTGGCTCTGTTCAACTCATGAATAACTACTCATTTCAATATAATGCAATTTAAAAGTAACACAATATAAATAAAAGCTGGCTGAAAATATGTTGTAAACTATGAATGTATATATGGATACAATAAATCTCTGAGATGTATGTAAAAATACAAACAACTGATGTGTATGAAAATACAACAACTTCTGTTGGAGCTTCTCTAACCGACACCCATCACTAAAGAGCTACATCATTACTCGGCCTATGCTGCCCAACCAACCTAGGGTATATGACTTGAACAACCTAATGGATCCACTAGTGTACTGTGAAAAGGGTTTATCAAAAAAGTATGACCCTCATTTAAACATGATGGCTACATGGTTTTCATGGGGATTTGAGTTATTATGAAACTCGCATCCCCACATCGGTACTCAATACTACTCCCAAAATATATTAGCTCTTATATTTTTAAAACATACTGATTCTGTGGTTTGAGATTAGTGCTTAAAACTTAGATTTAAAAATTCTCTCGAAAATCACAGTTTCCCTGCTTGCTTCATTTTATAAAGTTATTACATCTGTCTGAAAACTAGCTTGGAGAATTTTAACTTGTTTAAGCGCAAAAACATTTGTAACTCTTAGGGATTACTTAGTCCCCTTATAACTTTTGATAACAAACTCAACTCTTTACTCTTGCTTAATTTGTAAGTTGTGTTTTAAAACAAAGTTAAAAATGTTTGTTAAAGACTCTTCAAAACACTCGAAAGTCACTTTGACTTACTTCTTAACATGTAGACTTAACTCTTAACTTCTTTGACTTTGATATTAACTTTACTTGAATTGGATTATGAATTCAAGGATCATGATCTGATGTTGATGGATGATTTTATGATGTTTAGATGTACCTTAGAGTGTTAGAATCAACTAGGAAGCGCGGGTACATCACTTACGAAATAGTACGAAAAAATATGGGAATAATGGGGTCTCTAGGTAACCTTGACGCTCTGAGATGAGAATAGCGCGAGCACCTGATGGACAGACTCTGGTCTGAGGCGATCAAGTAGGCATGACGCCCCCCAGGGTCTATCAGACTGGATTTCCAACTTTTCTTCATCAATTTTCAACTCTAAACCTTCTAAACTTCCATGGATCTTCCCCCAAACATTTAGGATCACTAAAATTCTCAATACCCAAT